CCAATTTGTGTAATAAATTCAATTATAAAATTTTTCCTTTTACTAAAAAATTAAGAAAAGCAATTTGTATTAATTGTTATTCAAATATTAAGTAATTATTGAAATTAACTAAATTTACTTCACATTAAAAAAACACAACAGCATGTCAGTCATTATATTTCCAGTAATTTATATTTATTGCCTTTTTTTGACGCTTCGAGTTCGTTAGTGAGATATTTGCATAATTTTTCACCGGTCGCCCCTCGGGTTTACTTTTTTCGAATGTACAACCGGGTGTGGGGCTCAAAAGAAACCGATAACTGCTTGCCAAGCCCAAACGCTAATAAAAAATTCCATCCACTTATGTTTATGTTAATTTTATCCTGTCACCGCGACTAATTGTGCCGCTAAATCAAAAAGTTCTTGTACATGTGCGTTTTATGAGAAGCGAAGAAATATGACGAGTAAAAAAAAATAAATATTAGTTTTATAACAATGGTTGTTTTTTAAATGCAATCAAGAATTATTGTATGGAGTTTATAGCGTAATAAAGTGATTCGGTGAGTTAATATTCATTTAATTATATTTTTGTAAATTTATTTTTAAATCATTTTATTTTAATAGAACAATTTTGTAATTTATATTGAAGCTTCTAATAATTGAGTTAATTTTTGAATAAGTTAATTTAAATTTAACATTCAATATTTAAATTAAATAAAAAAATTCTGTAATTTAATTTTAAAGCTTTTAATTTTTAAATAAAGTTAATTTTAATTTAATATTGCATATTTAAATTAAACAGAATAATTCTGTAATTTGTTTTCAAAGCTTATAACTTTTATTTTTTTTTAATTAAATTTGATATAAGTTAATTTAAATTTAATATTTAATAGAACAGTTCTATAATTTATTGTGAGCACAGAAAAAAAGAAATATTTGTCACAAATAAATCAATTTATTTGAGTCGCTTTTTTAAATATTTCCTTATGACAGCTTATAGATTTGGTGCAAGTAAATATAACAGTTGACTTGAATTATTTTATTATTCGTCAGAAGTATATTATTTATTTGTGGTAAAGATGCTAAATTTGTCGAAAACAACGACATCTTTGGTATTAAAACTCCCAACTACAGCTCTTATGACGTCACTTGAACCGCGCCAAAAAGTGACCGCCATTATAACCAAGTGTTGATTATTTTCATCGCAACTTAAAGCTACAGTGACGTTTCAAAAATAGTTTATTTGCATACATAATAGTGATCACTAATTCTATTCATCAATGGATGAACTATTAACTAATTGGGAATTAGAAAAAGTCATACCTAACTTATATAGTAAGTTGTTTAAAATATTATATTTTACGAAAACAAATCTAAATCATTCTTAAGCTATAATTAAAAGAAAAAAAAAAGTTAATTTTCCAAAACTGTCCGAAGTAATTTTTCAAATATTTTTTCGCCATACTCCCTAAAACTGAATTAGTGAAAATTCGTCAAATAAGTGAATATTCACTTAACTTAAGTGCCAATCGAGCCACTTTTTCAAGTCAGTGGCTCGGTTCTCACTTAAATAAGTGAATATTCACTTATTCATGTTTAGAGAGTAGATGTTAATAAAAAGGTCGAAATCTAGGTCGATATACACAGACATCCACAAACACCCATTCCCGTACATGTAGCGAGAAATTGCGTTGATATACTATATAATATATAGTCCACCGACAAAGTTCTCATCCACCTCACTCAATTTCCATTACAAAGCTGTGCAAGGTGCAAAGTCTGAGAGAGCCCGCGTCTACCCTGTCATACCTTTATTATTTGAACGTGTGTGTATATAAAGTGTATACATAGTCACCACCATAAAATCTAAAGTGAAAGACGTAAAGACAAGCCATTGAGGGTAAAATGACGTGGAAAAAGTTTAAGAAGGAAAACATATCAGTAACGCAATATTATTTTTTAGTAAACAGGTGAAGAGCTGAAAATGAAAATTCTGAAAAGTGTATAAGTATGTTATAGTATACAATACTTAATACCAAAAGTTATTTTAAAACGATTGTTGTTAAAATACCGATCATCTGATAAAAGATAATAGTTTAAGGTTTTAGGTAATGGACTAAATGACGCGGCTGTCAATTTTATAGACATTTACTCGCATCTGTTCACAATCTTGAGGACAACAAAGCTGGTTAATCTTTAACACGGATCACTTCTCGATAATGTCTAATACTGAAAACTCGAATTTAAATAAGGATTTGTAGAATGACTTGACGCAAGTCGTTTTGTCCCCATCTTCACTATTGTGTTTAACTTAAAATTTTTAGCTCTGTTTAACACCTCAGGTGTATCAAAACTAATGGAGAAAAAGTTACCGAGAAGACTCGAACAAAGAGATGTTATCGATAAATATGTTAACCTGAGGATAGAAATTGTTTCAGGTTGGGATATGATTCAGAGTTGGACTTTGGTCGGTGTCCATGCAATGCAAATTTTCTTTACCTGATGCACTTTTGATCGCGAGCCAGGGTACGATGGTGATAATTGATAAATGATAAAAGAAATGTGTTTTGATCTTTACGTTTAACGTTAGATGGATTTATGGAGAAAGAACTTTTTAAAAGCTCGATCTAGACTAGGACCTTTTTTGTCTTAGCGAGAATTAGGAAGTATAAGTGCCACTCAAAAGGTATTTTGGAGAGAGGCCAAGTGCCAAGAGTTGGTAAGACTTTTCCGAGTGAGGGTGATGAAGTGCTTTTTTCTTTTTTATTATCGCTACATCGGTGTAAAAAAGTATATTTATGTTTTTTTGTTTAAGGCCTCCCTATTATATGTCGTACGTCGTGTGTTGTAAGGCGAAATTTTTTCGACAGATTAAGAGGGTTAGAAGGGTAGGGCGCCGAATCTGAGAATAAACTGGTGATTTCACGGTGCTGATTGTGACAAATTGGGATCAGGAGTAGGGTACAAGGTATCAAACTGATGTGTGGTTTTCTGTCTTTATGGAGGGATGCTAAGTGCTAAACTTTTGAAATTACGTAATTATAAACTTGTTTTTAATTATTTGAATCACCATATGTTATTTTATTTTTAAAATGGCCGAGCGAAAAGGAAAAATTCGTAATTGTTTTTTATTTAGTTAATAAAATTTCAAGCTTTCATTTTGTGGGGATTTTCGTTTTATTAACTATCGAATAAATGACAGACAGAGGTTTTTATATCGGTGCAAAAAGTTTTATGTATGGGAAAATATTTATCGTAAAAAAGTGGATGCTTTTTTACGGCGGCTGAAACAAATAAAAGAATGGCTGTGAAGTTATGATGTACCAATTTCAGCTGCGTGAAATTTTTTTGAAGTTACTAAAAAAGCAATGAAAAAAAAAAAAGATAACTTTAAGCAAAAATGGCAAATGCTCTATACAAATATAAAATTCTCTCAGAAAAATCTCAAAGTGACTGACTACATAATTAAAAAAGATGGAAAGTAGGAAAAAGCGAAACTAACAATTTATTTATTATGACCTCATTCCTTCCGTACTTAAGACCTGGAATTTTTTGCTCATTAGCCAAAGTTAATTTTATATCATTATCATTGCGATTCAGCAACAAATAACTTATTAAGTCTACTTTGTATGTATAACAAGCATAAAAATAAAATGTGGTATGTAGCACCAAACGATGCATTTATCACAATTTTCGCTTACAGCTATCAGCTGCTAGCCATACATCAAGTAAAACCAGCAATTTTTTATTTACACGCTGACAAATGTCAATAATAAAAAAAATGAATATTTATAACATAGCATTTTATGCATCATAGACAGCAGTAAAACGAATGCGTGACATGAACATTAAATTATTTACAATAATACAAAAGAATATCATTCAACTTTGAATTACAACATAATATTAATGTAAAAGACAACTACATAGCGACGTGACACGCTACTTTTTTACTTTTAATAGATTATAAAGTTATCGCGTTGATAAGTTACTCAATATAGGTTTTATCAACTAGATAAAACATTAAAACATACTAATAATTCAAAATGTTATGGATTCTCGAGGTTATATATCATCATTAGGGAGTTATGACGAAGTTACAATGTAGATAACTTCATTTTATTCACAGCTTAACTTTGTGGTGACAATTGGTGTGCGAGGCAGTAATACAATGTGATCTCTTCGAACGAAACAATCAATGTAATTACGATCGAGCATCGCCCGCCTTCGGTGGGCTCGCTCGATTATATAGTTTTAGGTAAAAAATATGAAAATTTATCAATATTTGAAGGTTTCTTCATGAAGGCCAATGTTAAAATATTATAGTTAGTTATTCAATCGATCATTAACGGAAGTTACTGCAATGCTAGTATATCGTTGAATATACAATATGTAGCTTTTATAGGTTTTTCGTACAAAAAACACATAAATTCTTCCAAGTATCAATGTGTTACCTGTCCCAAAACTTGATGATTCGTAAACGAAATGGCAAGGAAGTCTGAAACAATTATTTTTCAGGTTTTCTGTTCGAAAAAAATTGAAAAAACCGGTATTTTTCTACCTGCTAGCAGCTCCATTCACTATGGTCCTAACGATGAAACCGTATATCTTGGCTCAATGGTTTTTTTTTTTGAAAAAGATAATTTTTATTAATCACACACAAAGATACATAGTTAAAACAAGTTTAAAAATTACTTAAAAAAACTCGATAAATATTATAGTTAACTAATGCTATGCTACTCAAAGTAGATCTCAGCATTTACAATATAAATAAATAACTTATTAAGTTGACCATATTTGATAATTAACAATATTACGTTAATATAGATTAATAAATTAGATGTAAAAATAGTGATTAAAAAAACATCTGTACTCTTTAGGGGAAGGGAGATGGGAATTGGGAGGGTAAGTGGGAGATATATACATTAAATACATATATACAAATAATATCTAATGATATGCATTGAATAGTTGCTGTCTTTTACTTTAAAGATGATGTAGAATATATTCAATCGGCGGAGTTATTGTTTCCAAGTCGTTCTTTTTCGGATTTCGTCGATGTATTTGGCGTCGTTTTTCAGCCACCAGTAGTTTTCGTTCAATCTGTGATTGTCTTTAATGTCAATTTTTGGTAATGCTTTGGAGAAATCCAAGATTTTTTCTTGTTCATTGTCAATATTTATTTTTTTGCAGGTGCAGTGACGTTTTATGTGGTAGATGATGGGTAAGTTAAGTTCATCCTGAAGCATTCCCATTTTATCACAGAATGTGAACATTTCTGGAGTTAAATATCCAGTTGAGCATCTATCAGTGCAGATTTCATCACTTGGACAGCGTACGTTGGTCATAATTGGGTTGCCAATATTTTGGTAGCTAGCGTAGTAGTTGCGGCATAGCTTTAGGTAGAAGCAGTCTAGCCTGGTTATATTAGCCATGTTGTAGATGTTGGCATTGCTGATTCTTTCTCGGTAGTCTGTTTCAGCTTTTCTGTATTTTCGTATACACGATCTGAGCGCGGATCTCTCTACTCTACGGTATTTTTCCATCACTGTCGGGCCCATATTCCATAGCATTGGGGCTGCATAAGTAATAAGAGGTCTTATTAGCAACTGATAACATATAAGTTTAGCTTTGATTGATAAGTTGCTATTGTAGAATATTCTCGAGTTGCTTTTAATCGCAGTCCTTGCTTTTTCGAGCTGGATTTTGTGATGTTTTGTCAGATGGATCAAGTGGTCGAACGTAACTCCGAGATATTTAACTGGTTAGCTCAATGGTTTTTTTTTTTTTTTGAAAAGTAAATTTTATTGTTTCACACAAAATACATAACAGAATTTAAATAAGTACAAAAATTACTTAAAAATACTTTAACATATCAATACTTCATGTAATTTTTACTAACTGGCTACGAGCTGTAGATCTCGTTAATTATCAATATTAAATAGTATAATTTTATTATTACTTAGTGTTAGATAAGAACATTAAATGTTAACATATGAGGTTTTTATAAGATGTAAAAAAAACTGTGGTGTAGAAAAATACATCTAACATATTTTAGGGAGTGGGTGAGGGTGTAGGAGGTGGGACGATGGGAAAGGATGAAGGGAAGAGTTATATACATATATACATATTTACAGTATTATATTAATAATAAATACTTAATAAAATAGTTTGTACTTTGTTTTAGGTTTAAATGTACTTTAGATTTGCTGTAGTTGGCCTACAGGATTTGAGGAGCTAATGCTCCCACAGAGTTCTTCTTCTTATTTCATCTATGTGTGCTGGATCTCGCGATAACCACCAATAGTCGTTCGATACTTCGAAGTTAGTTGTTGTATCTATTGGTGGTAACGCCAAAGAAAAGTCTAGGTTATTGTACTCGTTGGAGTCAATGTTGATTCGATGATTCATACAATGTCTTTTCTCATGGTATATGATTGGGACATTGCGTTCATTTTGGATTACACCTTTACGATCGCAGAAAGTGAATATTTCAGGTGGTATATAACCAGAGCTGCACATGTTTGCGCAGGTCACGTCGTCGGGACATCTTAACTTGTTCATTATGGAGTTACCGATATTAATGTAGTTGGCGTAATAATTCCTGCAGAGTTTAAGGAAGAAGCAATCGATTCTGGTAATATTAGCTTCTTTGTAGATGTTTTTATTGCTGATGCGTTCACGATAGTTGGTATCAGCTTTTCTATATAGTCTCAGACAAGAACGCAGCGCAGATCTTTCGACTCTGCGGTATTTCTCCATGACTGTCGGACCCATATTCCAGAGAACCGGAGCAGCATAAGTGAAGAGTGGCCGAATCAAAAGCTGGTAGCAGATGAGTTTGGCCTTTGTTGACAGGTTTCTGTTGTAAAATATTCTTGAGTTAATTTTGATGGCTTGTTAAGCTTTTGTTAGTTGTAACTTGTGGTGTTTAGTCATATGCGCCAGGTGATCAAAAGTAACACCAAGATATTTAACGGTTTTTTTGACGGGAATTTTGGAGGATATTCTTAGATTATTAGTTACAGTTATATTGGCTGCTTGGATCCGTTTATATTGAGACACTTTTATCTGCTTACATGGGCGTCTGAAGAATATCACTTCACTTTTGAGTGCGTTAATTTTGAGATTCCAATTAAGATAATGTTTATTGATTCTATTCACTCTGTCCTGTAGTTTGCTGATAATAATGTCAGCATTACTCCCAGCGTAGTAGATGACGCGGTCGTCGGCGAATGAAAGTGACTTGATGCCATCAGAGTTCAGATTGGTCAGATTGGCAGCTGAGTCTGTGTTGCTGTCGTAGATGTTAAAAAGTATTGGTGAAAGAACTTTACCTTGTTGGAGTCCCTCAAGAATCTGGAAACGGTCCGAGGATAGAAGCTTACCATCCCAGGTATGAAAGTAGTTGCCTGTCAGCATATCCAGTAGTAATAACACCAGTCCTGTGGGGAAGTTGTTGGATACCAAGATGTAGATCAGCCCATTGATCCAAACAGAATCAAAGGCTTTTTCTTGGTCCAGCAATACTGCTCCTACTATCAGGCTGTCACGAAGGCTATAGTTGATGTCAGAAATGAATTTATGGATTGCGTGTGTAGTAGCATGTTTGGCCTTGAAGCCAAATTGATTTTCTGGTATGACTTTTTCAGTGAACACTACGATGTCGATCTGTTGTTTGATGAGCCGTTCAAATACTTTACTGATGCTGGTGGTCAAGCTGATTGGACGGTAGCTTTGTGGTGATTCCAGATTCTTGTCCTTCTTAGGTATTGGGAGGACCTTGGCCGCTTTCCATCTTGCTGGGAAGTAGAAGTTATTAATTGCGTTATTAAATATGATTGTGTAATCACTGATGACTCTGTCTGGTAGGTTTTTTAGTACAATCGCTGGGATTTTATCCAAGCCAGATGACGTTTTGTTTTGTAACTTTTTGACCGTTGCAATTACATCATGATGGCTGTACAGAAATTTGGCCTCATCATCTTGAGAAGGATAGTAAGCTGGGTTGGATTTTGAAAAAACAGTAAAGGTTTGTTGTTTGTTCCTCAGTTGATCTTTTAAAGATTTAACTTCATCAGCAATCCGGTCTACATTATTTTTAGTAGTTGATCCACGGTTGGTGTAGCGAGGAGAGTTTATGCTCTCGAGATATTTACCAATTATATAGAGTTTGGTGTCAGGATCGATCTACTTTCAGTACGTCAAATTTAATTTTATCAATTACTGGATCAGAAAAATTTCAAACATTATTTTTTATTACTTTTCAAATAGGTAATTAGTTTATTTTTATTAATTTTATGATTAGATGTAATAGTAGGCGCACCTTGGGATGACAACGGCGCAGTATACATCTACAGCGGTGACATAATTTCAAACTTGGAAATTAATATAAAAGTCCAAGAAGTCAGAGTTAAATCAACGATAAGAACCTTTGGATTTTCACTGTCCAACCCGGTTGACATCGACGACAATGGATTCCCTGACATTGCTATCGGAGCTTACTTAACTGGACATGCTTTAGTACTTAAAAGCAGACCTGTTCTAAAGACAGAAATATTAATCACTTCACGGCCTCGAACTCTGGATCGCAATACCACGAATTTCTTGCTGACGATCTGTGTAGCACATTTTCAGATTGGCAAACCGACTTTGGAAAGTTTCAATCTCAAGATTAGTGTTGATGAAACTTTTGAACGGGTCAACGAAACTAAAAATTCCCTGGAGCATATTTCTAAGTGGGATGATACATTAGTTACTGTTTGCTTTGATAAATATTTTTACTTACTCGTAAGTTTGTTAGTTATTAAAAATTTCATTAATTTATAAATAAATAATATATAAATTATAGGTTTATTTATAATAAATTAAAATTTTTGGTAACTTTTTTTTAGGAAAGTAATAAAAATTTTGTTGATTCTATTGAAGTTAAAGTTACTCATGAATTTAATAATAAAACAATTTTAAAAAATGAAGGTAAATTTTATTTATAATTTATATTGTTAAATTATTAATTGAATTTTATTTTTTTTTTTTAATTAATATTGTTAATTTTAGTTGATAATTATTTATTGATTTTAATTTTTTTTTATTAATATTGTTGATTTTTATTTATAATTATTAATTATTTTTTCTCAGGTGAAGTTATGTGTGATTTATGTCCTATTGAATACAAAGGAGTAGAATCAATTACTGGAGAATTGAATATTCCATTTAATATCGAATGTGGATTAGATGAAGTTTGTACTTCTTCAATATCTTTGTCTGCTAATTTTACTGGGTAAAAAATATCAATACTATTTTTAATAATGACCTAAAATATAATACAATTTTATTGTAAAATTTTCTAGAGTAAGTGAGCAATTAACTTGGATAATTGGATCCAAGGATATAAGCTTGGAGATAATTTTAAAAAATGAAGCTGAGCCGGCTTATTTAACAACTATCAGTATTGATTTACCTCACAATATTTATTTAAGTAGTGTATTACCCTATTGTAATGAGAATACTGATGGTGAAATTGTTAAAGTAACTTGTGATGCAGGCAACCCGTTAACTGGAACTCCGGTACTTTAATTAATTTATTTATTATAAATATAAAATTTATTGTTTTGTATTTATTTTAGAGAGTAATTAAAATTGACTTAGATATGAGTCAATTAAATGACGGAGGTTTGAATGGAACTACTTTGGAATTTAATATAAAAGTAAATACACGAAGTCAAAATAATGGAGATCAACATTTATCACGATCAATTTTGTTGTTAAGCGAATTTGTTTTTGACTTACAGGGGTATTTATTTTTGAGTAAATTTTGTGTATAAGTTATTAAGCATTACTTTTAATAATACTTTATTTGTAGAAATGCACATGATAAAAATTATTATTATTCGACTGAAGATAAATCATCATCGAATATAAGCTTCCAGCATGCTTATCAGCTTAAAAAAATTGGTGAAACTCCGGTGTTGCTATCAACACTCAATATTAATGTACCTGTAAGATTTCAAAGTGAAGAAATTGTTACACTGACGAATAAACCACGGGTAATCTATATTATTAAGAAAATAAGAAAAATTTTGTCTCCAGGATAGTCATATGATAGAATCTGTTTTTTTTTTAGTGAAATTTAGGGTCATTGTAAAGGTCTTGATTTAAATTTGTGATACCCACATCAATTTTTCATATATTTATATACATTGTATATATGAAAAATATATCAAAAATGCATGTGGGTACTCAAATGAAAGCTCGTGATGAGTGTAACATCGGGATGAGCTCATATTTTTAAAAACATCAATAGTTAAGCATGTAGAGTGCAATTTAACAAATATCATGTGAAATATTGACATTTTTTTAAGATATAAGCTCACCCTGACATTACGCTCGTCGAGACCTTTCATTTGAGTATCCACATCAATTTTTCATATATTTATATATTATATATATATATATATATATGTATATATGAAAAATATGTCAAATTGCATGTGGGTACTCAAATGAAAGGTCTCGACGAGTGTAATGTCGGGATGAGCTTATATCTTTAAAAATGTCAATAGTTAAGAAAGTACAGTGCAATTTCACAAAAGTCATTATTTAATAAAGCAAAATGTTATTTAAAAAATTCCATCTTTAAAAGCTCTAAAAAATTATAAATGCAATTTTTTTAAATAATTTTCCAGGCCTCATTTATTTTTCAAGAAAAATAAAAAAATTGTTCAGTGTCATATTTAAATATGAATATTTGGGGCTTTTTATTAAAAATAGACATGGATTTCTTTGCAGATTTTTATCTCAGGAAAGTTATATAAATGTTCTACACGCGGAATAACACTGATGAAGAAATTAGTAAATTACACTCCTGTGATTTTGAAAGAAGAAGAAGAAACATATCATTTAAACGTCAATGAAAGTAAATCGTTGAATTTAAAGCGCGACATAGATCAGTCTCCCGAGAAGTTGGTACCAATGATGATCTCAAATTTCCAATCTCAGCCGGAGATAATGATTGATGTCAATGCCCCAAGAATATACTTGAATTGCACTTCAACAGATGTTGAATGTGGAAAAATAACTTGTGAAATTGGTTCTCTAAACAGTGACCAAGATACCGGGGGGCTGCAATTAGACTTTTCAATCAATCCTGTCTTGTGGAATTATACTCAAAATACAGAAGCGCAAGTAATTTTTACAACAGATGCTTGGATTGATGTTATTAAACCAACATTAGAAGAAATAGAAACAGCTAGTGGTTCCAATTTAACTGCTTACATAAGCACGAATATTTATAAAATTGATAGTAATAAAAATAAATTAGCCAGTATTTGGATTATTGTTGGTTCTGTATTTTTAGGACTACTTGCTGTACTTTTATTTTCATTCATTCTATACAAAGTAAATTAATTTTTACTTTAAATCTTCATTTTATTTATTTATTTATTTAATTAATTAATTAATTAATTTATTATTGTTTTAGTGCGGATTTTTCAAGCGTAGTAAAAAAGAAGAGCTTGCAGCGCTGAAAGATGAAGTAAGTTTAAAATATTTATAAAAATATCATTTTACATTAATATAGAATTTTTTGTTCCAGACCGACAGTATGTCAGAGCCATCAGAGTTATAATTATTATTAAAAAAAAATACAATTTTTTTTTCTTGTAAGTTTTTTATTATAAATTTATAAAAATTCTGTTGTTACTCTTTAAATCAATAGCGTTATCATTATAATTATTACAAAACTAAATAATTTATTGATAGAATTATCTTGACTGGTTCTGAACTTAATGAAATAATAAAATTTGATCATATTAAATTAACAATACGTTAGAAAATTGAAAAAAAAAAAAAAAAAAAAAATTCATGAGCCCATGAATTTAAACAAAGTTCAACAATTAACTTTTCATTTTTAAAATAAATGAAATTTAACTAAAAATAATCCATTTTTTCTCCTTAATTACTTTTATACTGAAAATGGCACATACGGTATCTAATAGTCTTAACTGCATTAAGTATTTTAAACTCCATAATAAAAAATATAATTACAACTTATAATAGAATCTTCCAAAGGCACTTAGTAGCTTTTTAATATTTAAGATAAAAATTAAATAATAATATTTAATATTAATATTAAATATTAAACCTTATAATCAAAGTAATACTTTTTATTTATAATAAAAATGAAAATAATTTGAAAATCATCGCGTAATAAAAAATAAAAAAAAATCAGCAACTCTACCCAAAAGCTTCAGGTGGAATAGACCCACATTTATGATGCTCTTCAAAAGCCTTAATAGCAACATCATAAATCCAATTAACTTCCGACAAGCACTTGTAACTCCACTCATGCTTCATCTTGGTCCTCTCACTCAACGCTCTAGTCATCTGCTCTCTAATACCCTCCGGAAGCTGCGTATTATCCTCCTTGACAATCATCTTCGTATCTTCTTGAATCTGTCTATAACCAGGATTACCAATGTGCATTTGCTGCAAGACGAGCCTAACTTGACCAGCAGTAGGATTAGCAAGGTGAAATTGTTCATTACCAATACAATAACCGGTTCCAAATTGTTCAATAATAAACGTCCTGCAAAACTGCCTAAGAACATCACCTTCACTCCTCAGTTCTTTGAACAACCCCGTCACGGTGATGATCATCATCATAGAACCAGTGAGAGCTTTGACATCCAGCGTGAAGCTACCAGCTAAATGCTGGGTCTTGGGAAACTCGGACAAGCAACCAACGACATGCAGCCGTCCTTTGTTCAGTAATTTAACCCTCCTAGAATTTTCAATACAAAGAAGATTCCTGTTTTTCAAAGCGTAAGCGCTGCTCTTATCAATCAAAACCTCGGGGCTGATAGTCATTGTAAAAACCGCGTTGTCTAAATAAGCATCCAGCAGCGGCTGCCTAGAATTGCTGTCATAAACATTGAAGTAAAGTTGAACAAACTGCTGAGCAATTTCAAGGACTTGTTGGTTGGTTGTAAAAATTTTTAACGTACTAGGTAAAGAAATTGCCGTGTCTTCAATGTCAAAGCTTATTTTTTTGGGCAATTGCTTGCCATCCAGGCGAATTAAACTCGGAAATTTTTCTCGTATTACTGAAGAGTAATTAAATTTCATTTTTTGCAGCCTTGAGATGAACTCATTTCCTTCTAAACGAAGATCTTGCAAATTTAATTCTTTTAAAAAATTTAAATTTGACTCATGCTTGATTTTATTGTTAGCTAGGCTCAAAATTTTTAAGTTTTTAAAACACGTGCTCAATATTGTCAAATTTTCTAACTTAGTTAATTGATTATTGTCCAGATTAAGAGCTTCTAAATCAGGCACAGCTTCACTTGCAATTTCTAGGACGTAAATAAGTATATCAGGTCTGAATAAAGCGCAGAAATAATTATCAATAAGGTTTGAGTCTCTGTGGAAGCAAGACAAGTTTAGAGATTTTGTTTCTTCAACGTATCTGCTTGACATTGCTTGCTGAACTTTTATTTTAAAGTCTTCGTCAAATTCAGAAGCGGGGAACCTTGATGTACATACATCAACTGTGAGAGTGAAGTAATTGTCTATTATTATTTTCTTATGGCATTTGCGTAAATTTTCAGCAGCCTCGGGGTTGTCAACGTAAAACACAGCCTTTTTGAACGATACTTGGTACATTATTGGTGAGAAGGTATATGGTTTTATGTGATCTTTCAGAGCATTGATTATAAGGTTCTTGTCAAATCTGTGGACACCTGGGAGAACTACTTGGAACCAGTTTAAGTCGGTTGGGTTGTAATCTAGTCTTTTCCAAACGGAAGGCTTGGATCTTTCTGATATATTATAAGGCTCTGGTTTTGATCTGTTCTTTCGCGTGAATAATGATAGGCTTTTTCTCTTACTTGTGTCATTGTCATCTTCTTCTATGTCGACATCATCATCGTTATTACTGGTACTGGTACCATTGTGATTTTTGGAGAAATTAAACAGAAACTTGGATTGAATTTTTGACTTCCAGTCGAGCTCTGATTCTTCGTCCTTTGAATGGAATCCGAGACGGGATTTTATTGACTTTGTTGGTAATTTTGGCATTTTTATTTTTTGATGCTCTGTAAATAATTATTGTTATTTTAGATGAATTTACATAGTGTTAAGAGAAATTTAAGACAAATGAGAAAAAAAAATTAATTTAGCAGATATTTGATAATTTTAATTAAGAATTTTGTAACAAGTAAATTATGAAAAAAAAAATTGACATATGTAGCAATTTTGAAAAATAATTTTTTGGGACAAATTTGTTTGTTCAATAGAATTAAAAAATAGTGACTGCTAATTTTAATGTCATAATGAGTAAAGATTTATAATTTTAATTTGTACGTACCATTTAAATTGACACTTGATGAAATTGATTTAGCTAATTTAAATTGTTGTTAAAAACTTTGTAATTTAACAGGTATATTTTTTTTTTATTTTTACCTAAGCTGTTGCATTTAATTAAAAATACTTTTTTTTATTTATAATTTTTAATGACACAAGTTAATGTTAATCACATGCTTGGTTAAATTTTTCTTTGGTATATTTTGAGGTTGGTAAAATTGAGATCTGATGCTGCGGACTGTGAGGTCGTCGTTTGTCGGGTCAGATCATATCATATTTCAAAATAGAAAACTTATTTAATGGTTGTTTTTTATGTAGTATTAAAATTATTTTTTTTTTTTTTCATTTTATAGCTTAACTGAAAATTATACTAAATAATAAAATTAATAAATATCTGATAAGTTAAAGAATTTTTATTAGATTAATAAATTGTTGTAATCAAAAATTGAATGTAATTTGAAGCTGTCAAATTTTTTATTTTTAATTTAAATTAAAGTGAAAGAAGGAGACGCCTGAAAATTTTATTTGTTAAACATCGAGATGAGTTAATATCATCCAAAATGTCAATATTTCACAAGATACAAGGTCATTTCTTAATTATTGATGTTTTTAAAGATATAAGCTCATCCCGATGTTACACTCATCAGGAGCTTTCATTTGAGTACCCACTTGCACTTTTGATATATTTTTCATATATACATATATATAATATATATAAATATATGAAAAATTGATGTGGGTACTCAAATGAAAGATCTCGATGAGAGTAATGTCGGGGCGAGCTTATATCTTTAAAAATGTCAATATTTCACAAGATATTTGTTAAATTGCTCTGTACTTTCTTAAATATTGACGTTTTTAAAGATATAAGCTCATCCCGATGTTACACTCATCAGGAGCTTTCATTTGAGTACCCACTTGCATTTTTGGTATATTTTTCATATATACATATATATAATATATATAAATATATGAAAAATCGATGTGGGTACTCATATGAAAGGTCTCGATGAGAGTAATCTCAGGGTGAGCTTATATCTTTAAAAATGTCAATAATTAAGAAATGACCTTGTAATTTCTTAATTATTGACATTTTTAAAGATATAAGTTCATCCCGATGTTACACTCATCAAGAGCTTTCATTTGAGTACCCATATCAATTTTTCATATATACATATATACAATATATATAAATATATGAAAAATTAATGTGGGTATACTCAAATGAAAGGTCTCGATGAGCGTAATGTCGGGGTGAGCTTATATCTTTAAAAATGTCAATAGTTCACAAGATACAAGGTCTTTTCTTAATTATGTATTTAGAGATAAAGTATTTTCGAATGCAGCCTAAATACTTATCATAATAAATTTAATATCGGTGAGAATATGAAACCTTGAAAAGGCATAAATTCAAATCAAGACCTTTGCAATGACACTAAATTTCACAAAAAAAAACCGATTTTATCATATGACTATCTTAGGTACAAAATTGTTCTTATTCTCTTAATAACATAAATTATAATTAGTAATGTTATATATAATTTTAGTTTTAAAAGGTGATTAAGGGAGTTATATATATTGAGAAAAAAATCAAAAAATTTATTGAAATATATTTTAAATTTATTTTCATTTTATAGATAAACAAATTGTTATAATCATAACTACGTCATTAAAAAATGTCATTTTTTTCCATTTTACAATAATTTTATATTTTTTTTTTACATAAAATTTTGTTGTTCAATATATATATATCATGATAATGATAGTTTTAATAAATAATGTACATTGAATATTAGTCTATACATCCATATTTTCTTTAACATTATATACTTAATAGCTAAATAAACTTAAACTATAATTAGATACAAAAACTTATTTCTTTAAGTTCTATTTACATTTCATTTATTTCCCCTCATTCAATACTTATAAATATATTTATAATTTCAATATTTTGAATGAACATATAAATATTTTCATTGCTAATGAAAAACAAACGTACGATTAAAACTAAGAAAGTAATAAAGTTTTATCAAAATAAAATATACCGATGCATTCTATAATATATAATTAAAAATAATTGATAATTAAATTCATCTTTGTAGCTTTAAATTAACTTAATACAAATATTTATTTGAAAAAATAGAATCGAAAGTATGCAAATATTCTTTCGAGATAAATAATATCAATTTTAGATGAAATTGTCCAAACGTAATTTAGTCTAATTATTTTTTTTTTTTTTTTAAATGATTAAAAATTGCATTAACAAATTTATTGATGCACAATCGCAAGTAAGACCGACCTGAAGCTTGGGTACAACGTCTCTCCTCCTCTTGAAAAATATTTTAGCAGTTTGATGGATAATTCTGCAATTGTGCCTTTGTATTTTACACACAAAGTGCGACACAAATTTATCAGAAGAACAAGTGGCTGTAGCATTGAATAAACCCATGTTTACTCTAGAAATAAATTTCTAGAGACCGTAACAAAATATTTGACATCAAGCTTCCCTTCATAGCTCACACAAGATTAACTTGAGCAAACCGAAGCTAGAGAGGTCTTGACACTGCATCCTCGGTACTCTGTTAATGTTCAGAGTACATTTTCAGCATGTCAGTTGATTTTGTAGGATTGCTTTAAAAATCTTTCAAAATTTTTGGTGTTTTTTTTTTGGCAGTCTACTCCAATTGTGCATTTCAATATTGTTATTTATTTTTTTTTTTTCAATTATCATTTTTTTTTTTAATTACTTTTACGTCTTAACAATTACACCTAGCTTCAATTATTTCTCACAAGAATATTCACAATTTTTTTTAATTAATTTAAACAACTTAATTTTTTCCTATGAGAATAAAGAGCCAAAAAAAAGTTAACAAAAAAAATAATTTAAAATTCGAGTTAAAAAAATAATTTTAAATTTAAAAAAAAAAATTATCATTTTTTATAAATTCATATTTGATTATTTATCCTCATTTTTTTTTTAAAATTCAAAAAAATATTGTGATATAGTTAGTAAGTGTGCGTTAGAAAAATTAATTCTACACAGTAATTAATTACTGTAATTATTCTAAGAAAAAAAAAATATTAATATTTTTCGAATGCACACCAAAAACTTTTTTTTTTTAGCAAGAATTTTTTTCCAAATTTTGTAATGATTTTTTTTTATGTATATGTAAACTATGTCTTTAAATTTAATGAATTTATAATTATTAGTAATTTAGTCAATGATTTTTGGCAGTTAAATTTTTTATAAATAGAAAATTATTATCATAATTATTGCGGCTATTTTTTTTTTTTTTTTTTTTTTTTAATTAATGTGTCACGAATTCAGTTTTAAAATCAAGACTCATTTCTAGAAAATTAAAAATATTAATAATTATAAAGAATAATTATTAAACTTATGGAATATGTAGCTCTTACATATTAAAAAAAAAATAACCACTGAATTCGTGCCAGCAAATAAATTTTCCACGATGAGACTCTAAACTTTAAAATTTTAATTTTTTCTATAAAAACAGAACAAATTATCGATTAAATGCCTCAGCTGGGATTCTCCCAGCTTGAAAGAATTCATTAAACGCGCGAAGGGCAGTTTCAAAGTTCCACTGTACCTCTTGTAAGCACTTGAAGCTCCACTCGAGGTTCATCTTAGTTTGATCACTGAGAGCAACAGTCATTTGGCGCTGAAGCTCCTCATTGGGTTGAGAAGACGCTCCTGAAGTTGACGGCTGAGGTTGAGGTTGAGCTTGAGCTTGAGGCTGTTCTGGTACTTGTTGGGCTTGAATAGCTGATGCTGCTTGCTCAGCTATCGTAGCCTGCGGACTGTTCAAAACTTGGCGCTCTTGAGATGGAGTTGGGTGTGCCAAGCTCAGCTGCTCGTTTTTTATACAGTAACCATTGCCATATTTAACGATGACAAATGTGCGGTCGAAGTAACGGATCGGCTGATCCTTGGCTCCTACTTCTTTGAATAAACCAGTCACGGTGATAACTATCGTCGATTCTGAGATCGCTGTGGTGTCCATAGTGAATGAATTTAAGAAGTGCTGGGTCTTCGGCAATTCCGAGATAAATGATACTACTGGTAGTCTTCCTTGTTTTAATAATCTCATGCGGCGATTTGTATCAGCACACCGGAATAAATTTCGGTTGTCTGATAAATATTTGTTGAATCTATAACAAAAAAAATATTTATATTTAAAAATATTATTCATATATTATTAAAAGAATAAGAAAAATTTTCTATTTAGAAAATGCTATATCTCTAGATACATAGTTAAGAAATGACCTTGTATCGTGTGAATTATTGATATTTTTTAAAATATAAGCTCACCCTGACACTATACTCATCGAGACCTTTCATTTGAGTACCCACATCAATATTTCATATATTTATATATA